GCAACACCGTCGCCGATAGAGGATGGCGTCTCGGTCAGACAGTGGCAACGAGACCCGCGGGTCCTCGGAGTCTGACAACTCGCCTACGCCCACACCCACCAGGGAGCTCCAGCAGCATCACGCCCGCGAGAAGCACCACGCCCGTGAGCTCCTCCTTCAACATCAGCAGCAACAGCGACCCAAACCTCTACACGTTCCCTCCAACACTCGCGGTGAGTACTCCTGTAGGCCTCTTAAAGGGAAACACGTCCTCTTTTATTTTGCCTATACAGTACCTCATAAAAGATAGAACCCTTGAGTACAATATTATAGTACTCAGGGTAGTTATAGTGTAGTTATAGTATTGATAGTGTTAAGACATTATTATTCGAGGTATTCATACTTATTAGTAATGTTTTTAGGTAGTAATCAAGTGTCATAATTGTCATAGGGTTAGGACATGGTACTCAAGGGGTGAGTGAGTTTAGTGGGTAATATTAGGTTTAATTTATGTGTGTGTGTGTGTGTGTGTGTGTGTGTGTGTGTGTAGACAAGTTATATGTCAAGTCGTAGAAATATTATATTGGTAGCATGACTTTTATTCATTTATTTAGAATTTTCCATTAATTTTATGTAATGAAATAGATAGGAAATTACCTGCAATATCTGATAATAAAGTTAGAATTATGAATTATAGTTTACGATGCCAAATGTGTGTAAATCTCTCTCTCTCTCTCTCTCTCTCTCTCTCTCTCTCTCTCTCTCTCTCTCTCTCTCTCTCTCTCTCTCTCTCTCTCTCTCTCTCTCTCTCTCTCTCTCTCTCCTATTCTCTCTCTCTCTCTCTCTCTCTCTCTCTCTCTCTCTCTCTCTCTCTCTCTCTCTCTCTCTCTCTCTCTCTCTCTCTCTCTCTCTCTCTCTCTCTCTCTCTCTCTCTCTCTCTCCTTACTGAGTGAAACAGGTGTAGAAACATGTGTACTTCAGGGTAGGTGTTGCGTTATAAGTAGGGAGGGGAGGCAGGTGTTGTAGCTTGTTGATCAGATAAGGTCGTTTAACATGTATAGGTCAAGACAGGTGTCGCAGCAGGTGTAGAGCCAAGGTAGAGGCTTACACGTGGGTAGGTTTTTTTCGTCGTTTGTTTTTTGATCAAGTCTTCCCGCCTCTCTCCTCAGTGTTGGTGACGCCAGGTCAGCCCGTCGCCCGTCAGCCCACCGTCACCACCGTCCGCGTCACACCCACTGCGAGAAACATATCCGTAACTACGCCTATAGCCAGAACCACGCCCACGGCTACACCGTCTTGCAGAACCACTATCATCTTACCCTCTACCATTAGAACCACCCCAATAACAACCCCTACGGCCAGAACTACGCCCACAGTAGCCACACCCTCGCAGAGAACTACGCCCACGGCTACACCTTCGCAGAGAACCACGCCAATAGCCACACCCTCGCAGAGAACCACGCCAATAGCACGGCCTGCCCTGCCTTCCAGATTGACGCCCTCGTCTGTAAGGCTCACACCCACTATCCACAGCCAGCGACCTCCGCCACTCAGACCCCTGCCCAGAAGGTGAGACTTCAAGGGCGTTTTGTGAGGGAGGAGGGAGGGAGAGGGGAGAGAAGGGAGGTAGAGAGGAAAGAAGGAATGGAGAGAGGAGTGAAGAGGGAGAGAGGAAAGAAGGGAGGAAGAGTGGGAGGGAAAAATGTTCGGAGAAGAAGAGGAAGGGAAAAGGGAGAAAGGAAAATAAGGAAGGAGGGAGAAGAGAGAGAGAGAGGGGGGGGGGATAGAGAGAATCCACGAAAACTACCCAACAATGTGGACATGAATACGAACCACGAGAGCAAATGTATCCTCGTCCAGTCGTAGAGAATGGAAGAGATGAATAAATTGTCGTAACCACTTGAGTATAAAAAGATCATCGTATTGAAAGTCACGACATCTTACTCATGGGGTTAAATCATCCTACTCATGGGGTTAAATCATTGTACTCATGGGGTTAATTCATCCTCCTCAAGGGATGTTATCATACTCAAGGGGTTAAGATAACATACTCATCAGACGAGTTTAGTTTACACAATGCATCAGGCTCAAGGTATTAAGTCATTGTATTCAAGGGATTAACTCATGTAATTTTATTGGATTAACTTATGTTACTCAAAGGAATATATCTCGCTCATCCTCACTACCTAGATATGAGTAATTGCAAATGATAATCTGATTTTAAATAATTGTTATGAATAAAATTAACAAAGCTACAGCAAAATAAAAGTTATGCTAAAAATGAACTAGAAAAGCGATAGAAGTTCTATATGAGCTTCTTCTCTAGTTCTGTAGACACCAATGCGATATTCTGTTTCCCACCTTACATTTTGTGGCGCATCATACTGGAACTCTTCTAACTGACTCACTTATTTTTTCTCTCAAATTTTACAAAGTTGCTGTTGGTGTTGGTTGAACAAAAGCCTGATTTTTTTTACACAAATCCAGATGTAAAGAGTAGTTTTGATATTTTTTTCCATTATAGATGTTTGAAATAAGGAAGATCATTTGTGATCACTTGGTGTATGTCACACTACATTACATAGTGATAACTTATCTGTATATCATTTCCTTTAAACTTCTTACTGGGCTTAGACAATTATGTAGATAAGCATAATACATATAGTGAATTGATTTATATATAACCTAACCTAACCTTCGCTATCAGATGATGGTAAACGACGTCTTATATGAAACAGCATATTTTACCATCTGTGAATTAATTCATACGAAGTTGTAGCAATAAAAACAAAAAGTTTACCCCTATTAAAAAGGTGTGCAGTTGAGTTTTAAAACTTAATCGTCGAGTATCCCTATTTAGTGACACACACACACACACACACACACACACACACACACACACACAAGATCTAAGAATATTATTATTGTTATTTTCCTTCTTTATATTACTCGCAGTCGTTGATTACCGCTGCCGTTTGCTTGTTTCCTTGTTTGTTCCCGTTCTTGCTGGAGGCTGTCAAAACTTGTTCTGTTGTGCTTGACCTAATTATTTTTTCCCTCTTTATATAACCTTTGTCATGGTTCCTGTTTGTGGTGACCTTAAATACAAGTATGATATATAGTACAGCCCACCAGAGAGGTCTTCAACTTTGCTTTAGTTTGCCATCATACACGTTTAATATGTCATTTTTTTACGTCACTTATGTAGATTAGTTAAGTCGTTGTAATCTATTTTGTTATATTTCTTAGGTAATAATTTAGTGACTCTTTAAGTTATCTTAGTATTGTTGTTGTTGTCTGGCTAGTACTGAAAGACACCATCACCTTCTTCACCACCATTTAAGGTTCAGTCAGGTCGTTCCCTCCTGCTGTAGTCGTGGCAGATACATCAGGGTGTGTGATCTTCGTCCATCATATCTCTGGGTGATTACTGACTGTCTGGGAGTTGTTTGTGTGTTTGTTTGTTTGTTTTGAGATGTGTCCCGAAGGAGTTGGTACCACAGGGGACGACCTCTCCTCTACCCCGAAAGGTCGAGCTCCTCATTAAAAGATGTCTAGATTGGGTCACCCACACCTAAAGATGATAGTGTAGTGGGTGTAGTAGAGATGACAGTCACCTGGATGTAATGTAGATAAAGAAAAGGTGGTAGTGTAGATAGTGTAATGGACATAGTGTAGGTGATACTGTAGTTACGGACATCCAAAACAAACTCTGGCAATTCCGAGTTTCCCAGCCAATACAGCATTAAAAAACTCATATACATCACCGATTATTATATTGCTTATTGGGGTGTTAACATTTACCTTCTTTTCTGATGTCTCTTGTTTTCACCTACAAGCGTCACCTGTCTTCAGTTAAAAGTTGTTTGTACTCGTTCACCTTCCGGGGTAATCCAGTACTTTTTTGTTGTTGTTGTTGTTGGGTCAGTAATGATGGCCGGAGCAGCAGAGTGGACCACAGGAGAGGAGGCAAGTTGGCTGAGCTTCTTGCTGGTTGTGTGGCTGGAGGGCATTTGACTTCAATAAATCAAGTCTAGGTTTAGGTTTTTGGTAGATGATTCTTAGTCGCCCTTTAGGCTTTGTTCCCAGCTCCATAAATTACTCAGGGACCCAGTACGTGTTGCCCCGGGAGCTGTAGATGATCCACTTGTGTTTTTTATAAAGATTTTTCACTTTTTTTTCCAACCCTTCCCCCCCCCAAAAAAAAGAATCTTTCCAACATCTGTGAAGAATATTGATTAAATTTGTCATCACATCTGGTTAATTTATTTGGTGTTAGGAGGGGAGTTGTTTGTTTCTTCACCTTGTAGGCCAGTATGGTGGTGTGTGAAGGCTGAAGTAATGTGTCGTTAGTGTTGTCGAGGTCTGTCAGATATACTGTTGTTGATGTAAGTTCAGTGAAGATAATCAAGATATTGTCGTTGGAACTGAAGATGAAAATTTAAGCATTCTCTCGTGAATAGATGTTGATAAATTGACAATTCAGATATAATAACACAGGTTGACTTAATATTGTTTTTAAGGTGTTATGGTAATAGTTTACTTGTAATGCACTTTTTTTTTCATCAAGTTTTCACCTCACCTAAAAAAAAAGGTTTCAAATATTTTATTCGTGTATCTGTCATCACCGTTTGGAAATCTCAGTGTTCACTTAATTGAAAATAGAATCAAGTTTTCAGCTGGTATCGCGCGTGTACCCTCACAAACCATCATTTAAAGCGAATCAACCGAACCTGACCAGCTACATTTAACCTAACCTAACCTAACTAAACTATTACATACTTTTACATGTTTTTGACATTAATTAGAACCCGTGTTTAATGACTATGCTTGATCTTTCCCTCTTTCTCACCGCACCTTATCCTCCGTATCAGCAGGCCACCGTCTTCAGGCATGGGGTCGGCGGGGTCAGTCCACGCTGGAGCGCCCCTGGGCCCTCTGGGGTGCTCCCGGGGGCGGCAGAGGAACAGTGTCGCGGTGGTGGACTCCCGCGAACACATCTACGAGGAGCTGGAGCTGTGTCGAGGACCACCTAAACTCGCCCCAGTGTCAGGAGTCCTGCCTCAGGTGAGTGTTACCTTAATGATGAGAGAGAGAGAGAGAGAGAGAGAGAGAGAGAGAGAGTATCATCCAGTAATAGTAAATATCACAAGGCAAGGTACTCCCATTCCTCTGGTACAAGAGAAAGACAAAGAAGCAAACATATAAATAATGTTGTACTCTAAAACGGAAAAGGACAGCGGCCAGTGAGATCAAGTAAGTGAATACAATACAGTACTTTATACCATAGTGCTAGCAGAGTAATGGACAAGCTCAGCACAGTGACATTAATCAGTTGGGTGAGAAAGAGAGGATATTAATGGGACTTTCTCTGCCTGCCTATTATGAGCTAAGGTCGACTCTCATATCTCAGCCCATTTTAAAATTTCACACACCTTTGCTGACACAGGGGCCGGAGCACCACCTCAATGAAGCATTATCGTGAAGACTCAACATAATCACCAAACCTGATCTTAAGAATGGACCGACAACTGCCAGGGAGAAACGTGGGCTAGTTATCTCAGCAGTTTTTTGTATTTTATATTTAGTCATTCATAACTGGCGGTGCCATTTAAGTCCCGAGAGAGGCGAAGGAATGAGCTGTTCGGCATTCTGTAACGAAGGGAAGACGACAGCGAGGAGAATGAGAATAGCGCAACGTCTCCGTGGTCGGAATCCCCTTCAGGTGTGGGAGTTGGTTGTCATGTAAGTGTGTATGTGTGTGTGTGTGTGCTAGATGATGTTATCTTTATGTGTGTTTATTATCATTCTGTCCTCATTCCTTTTTGTGTTTTTTTCTTCATTATGTCGCCTATCTCTCCTATCTCCCTCTCTCCCTCCCTTTATCATGGCTTATTTCTCTCTTATAGGATGATTACTTTTGATGTTAAATTCTTATTTTGGTTTAGGAGAAGTGTAATGGTTTTCGGTGTTAGTTTACTTTACCGCCACTGCTGAATTAATCTTAGGACGAATTTTTCTTCTTAGATAAAACTTGTTTATAACCCGTCGGTGTTCAGGGTCAGAAGGAGAGAAATTGGTAATGGAAATAATAATTCAAGGTCATGTAGGGTCATCGTCTTGTATCCATCATGGCGGCGGTGTGATAATTTTGTTCTTTTAAAATAGGTAAAATGAACCAAGTAAACCCAACCTGGTCTGCCCTAACCTAACCTAACCTAACCTAACCTAACCTTATTTCCATTACCGACACCGTATACATCCATGTTTTTGAAGGCGATAAACAAGTATATCTTAAGAGAAGGTTTTGAGGATAGGAACTTTAGCCGTAAATGTAAAATATATCATTATCTTGTATTCTTATCCTTATCTTACCCTCTTGGTCTGCGTGAAGCGAATATCTTAGGAGTCTCTGAGGCGAAACACCTTCAGGATGGAGAGGACTCGAGAGGAATCCAGGATAATATATAGTTAGGAGGATATTTCAGTAAATCATCCCGGTGTAATGACCTGGAGGAGCGTGCTCGGGTGTGGTCAACGTGGGGCTGCAACTCACGATATCTGCCAAGTTATCAAACGTTTTCAGTGACGTAAGATAACGGCATGGCAAAAGGTATCGTGTTTAACAGTCGTCCGGCGCTCGTTACCTGGGTCATAACTCGCACATAATTGTCCTGAGCAGCAGTTGTATTGCGCACTATATTGAGCACCATCTCTTAATTGTGGCTTAAAAAAAAAGAGAAAAGGAGAGAGAAACATCAGCAGAGAGAGACATCACATATTGTTACGCTGGAAGGCCACACAAAGTGAAGTTAAGGTAGCGAGGGAAGAAGCGAGCAGCCCAGACGGTAAGGCTGTGGGTGCTGGGAGAGTCATCCTTGTATTATGTACCGCAGTGTTGTAGTGCATACTTAACGTGCTGGCCACCCCCGGTACGGTCCCCTGCATGTACGTGTCATACTCTGTATCTCAGCTGCATAAGGTATCAGTGCCGAGGAGCCTGTAGGGGTGGCGGGTCTTGTGTGCCATAGGAGCCCTCAGACGGGTGAAATTTACAATAGTTCATAAGCTGTCGGCCATATATAGCTCACCTGTATCAGGTAATGGGGCTCGTTAAGTACAAGGAGTTAAGTTAATCAGTTACAAACTATTAGATCAGGAACTGTGGCAATTAGCATGCAAACCAGATAATGGGCGTGGTAATTAAGACCAAGACGGTGAGATACACTAGACAAGCCAACAACACCAGACAGTTTTCTTTTGTCTCAAGTGACCGCATCTCGTTTTCGGTGAATGCAAACGAGTTCTCAGTCGTCTAGTTGATAGCGTGAATAAGCACAAACGATGTATTTTCAACAGCTTTAATGAGATTCGACGAACTGTACACCTTTTTTCTCAGTAACGTGGTTACCCACTGCATTTCTTCGGTGTTTACGAAAAAAGCACTTCGCCATTAGAACGATCATCAAAGAGAGGGTGGTGGTGTCGGGCCGCGGCTTCAAGTGACGAACGACTTGACAGAGACACATGTGCCTTCTCCCAGGACCTCGTTAGAGTTCTCTGCTCATTGTCTCACCGTCTGTCACGGCTGCTGCTGCTGTAAACGCCCACCTGCCGCTCCCGACCCACGCCTACACCCGCCTGAGGTTGTGTGTGTGTGTGTGTGTGTTGACCGCCTCTTCTTGGGTTTCTTGGTGGACCTGCTGATTGTTTCTGACTTACTCTTGCTATTTGTGACTCACTATTGCTGTTCCCTTCTGCCTCGCTGCTGCTGTTCCGGACTTACGCGCTATGGGTCACTACACCTCAGCTGCTGACTCCTGAATGCCTGTTATTAAGTGTGAGTTGATTGTGTCTGTCTTAGTGTATGGACTGGGGAGAATTTATTCTTAATGTATAGTAACAGGGAATATAATCTTAGATTGTAATTGTATAGGAGAATGAGCCTAAGTGTGATCAACAGGATTAAGTCTTAGCATAGTCGTAAGATAATAAAGTCTTGCTACATTTCAGTTTCGTAGGAATTAGTCTTTTTATAATGTTAGGGGATTTAGTCTTCGTATATAGAGGGTGGTTAAGACTTACTGTTTTGTGGAATTGATGTGGTATTAACTGCCAAAAAGAAGAGTTAAGTCTACTCCTCCCTCCTCTACTTCCCTATCTTCTATTTCATCCTATATCCTGTTTCCCTACTCCTATTTCCCCATCACCTACCCTTCCCTGCCTCTCTACTTCCGTCTCTTTCCCTCTCCTTGACTCTCAGCTAAAGTTTGGCATTATGAGAGGAGAGGGTATCTGCGATAAGAGATACGATCATTTGCCTGACAGGGGTAGTGAGGAAGAGGAGGAGGCCGATAGTGGGAGGATGTGTGGTGTATTGGTGGTGATGGTGGTGGGAGGGTGAGGATGAGAATAATATTGTGATGGCAGTGTTGTGTGGTGGTTGTGGTGATGGTGGTAGTGGTGGGAGGATGACAATGTTATGGTAGTGATGGTAGAGTGAGGATGAGGATAGCAGTGTGATGACAATGTTGTGTTGTTGTATTGGTAGTGGTTGGAGGTTTAAGGGGGGATGTCTCATTCTATTGGTGCTCTTATTTGTTTTTCCTACGTGTATGTGTTACAAATATACGAGTCGGATATGTCGGACTTTCATAAAACGACTAAAGAAGATAAATTATTCAACATTTAAATAATAGTGTAATTTTAATACCGTATTTAAATGACTCATTAACAACACCGAAATTGGCATAATTTTTAGTGCTAATGTAATGAATTTTGATATAAATTTCATAATCCTGTAATTTATTCAATATCTGAATCTACAGAAGACTACAAAAATCAATATGCTCAGGTAACTCCGCTGTATAGAGTATTGTAACGAGTTCGTAATGCTTAAGGATGCCCTAAAAATACAGTAAATGAGAATGGGAAACCACCATTTTCTGTGACGATCTTCATGGTAAGCTTCGGTAAATGAACACAGTCGTCACTATACGCAGCATATATTACAAAAGACTAATCTGTATTTTTACCTCGACATTATTAGATTAAAATCCTGATGAGTTGCTTAATTATGTTAATAGTATCTCGTCGCCGCGAGATTACATCCTTGGTAAACAAAAATAAGAGAAATTGAGGCTTATTTTATAGTGAAGAATATATGAACACATAAACTAGCATAATAATGATGGTAATTAAGTAACAACATGGTGATTTTCCTCGGTGTTGTTTTTTTCTCATATAATAAGATAAGACGTAAGTGACTAAGCAGAATAAAAGATTTTATATCTCAAATCTCAAATGATTAAAAGTGTGTGTGTGTGTGTGTGTGTGTGTGTGTGTGTGTGTGTGTGTGTGTGTGTGTGTGTGTGTGTACACGCAGCAGTTTCTATGGTCATATATACGTAACAGTAAGGTCATGCTATGAATCAGTGTGTGTGTAGTCATATGGCAACACACACACACACACACACACACACAGAGTACTCAATAAAGCGAAAGTTCCTCTCTCTTAACAGACCGACGAAATTTCAACGAAAGAATAATTGCTCCTCAGAAAAACCTCCCGAACACTGAGTGAGTGAGAGTGAATCAGGCGCCGCCAGCAATCAAATGTTCTGGGAAAGTGAATCTTAATGACGTCAGGTGAAGGCGAGACTCAAAACACAGCTCATTTTCTCATTTGCAAATTGTTCTAATAACCTCACCTTACAGGAGCTCATCCAATGACCTCTGACCTGTGACGGGCTCCGGGTGTCATCCTTTTATCTCTCGAGGTCACGTGTCTTTTCGACTATTATACTCATCTTCCGTGCCTTTTACCTTCAAGCGTGTGTCGAGTACGGTAATCGACTTGAGTAGATTACTGGGATTTATTCGACACTGTAGAGCCATGACGTAATCGAGGGAATTTTATTATCCATTTTTTGTTCTTGGGTCTTGAAAAAAAGGTCCAATAGAAGAAGTCGTCTTGTCGAGGTTATAACCAAGTGAACTGTCTGTCTTTCTGTGTCTGTCTGTCTGTGTCTGTCTGTCTGTCTGTTTTCCATATGTGCCGCTGCCAT